ATCGAATGTTATTAACAGCTAATATAAATGATAATTATGAAAATAATTATTTAAATTCAAATGATAATATATTTAAAAATGATAATGAAGGAGGAATACATATAAATAAACAAAATCATCCATTTGAAATAAATCATTCAGGTTTTTATCCAACGTCATGTATTGAATTTGAACTTGTTGGTTTAGCTATATGTGCTGCATTAAATTTTCAAAAAATTCATGAAGCTGAAGGATCAAATTTTGATCTTGGTAAAAACAAAAAAAAGAAAAATTTCAAACTTTTATTTATTTATTCTACTTTTTTTTTAAGGTTTTGGTACAACTATACAAAATCCTTTTAGGTGGTCCTGGTGTTATTCCATCTATAAGTAATACATCAACAACTCCTTATGATGAAACAACACAATGTTTACCAGCATTACGTCTTCTACGACAAATGGTTCAAATATGGTTACAAGATGTTCATTCATATACAAATATATTTGCTGATATGCAATTAAATCATTTTTATCGTTAGTTACAATCAACAAAAAGTTTACTCTATGAACCAGCACTTAAACGTACTATTCAAATATTTATGAGAAAATTACTGTAAACAATTATTATATATTTGATTTTATGAAATAATAAAAAAACAAAGCTTTTTTGTTTTCGTTTTCTAGTGTACAATTACTTGTTGAATTACAACGTATTGATAGTACAACAGTATATGGAAATTTAAATAAAATTATTTTAGCAACAAAACGTTGGTCACTTATTGATACACGTTTATATATTAAAGTTATACTTGAACATCTTCAATTAAAAGATTTAACATCAACAATATGTTTAGAATTAAAATCTATTTATCATTGTTTATGGTGGTTTGATGATAAAAATTATTGTGGATTTCGTATATGGTCAAATACAAAAGGACAAATTGATGATAATATTGATAATAATGATGAAGAAGAAACAATTTTTGATTGGAATATGATTGTTTATTTACCACGTGTTGTTCAAGATTATTTTGAAACTATTATTTAAGAAATTTTTCTTTTTTATGTACAATAATTGCAAGAGATTTGAGATTTAAAATAAGCAACGGAGAGACCGATGGTCTCCATAATAACAATCGAGAACCACAAGTGTCACCGTCCTTTTCTAGAATTCCTTAGCAACAGAAAAAGGCGTTGAAAGTCTAGAACATTCGAAAGCATTTCTTGAAATTGAAATGACTGAAATATGTTCGAATGTTCTAACTAACGAACTTATTGATTTTTGCATAGATACAAATTTATATTCAAGATGATAAATAATGATGTATTGTTTTGTCATCGTTGTCATATGAAACGTGAATTGATCAAGTTATAACTTTGTCAAATAATCAATATCAGTATTTTGAAGTTTATCGAGATATATAAATAGTGCATTGAGACATGATCTAGATATAATGGATATGTAAAACAGATTTAGTAGAAAAAAAAATTCTAAGTAAACTCGCGAAGGACTACATGAATGCTGTGCTTCGCACCGCATTAAAAACACTCATGATAACAATCTGATTATATAATTTATAGAGATGACGCTCTATGCTAATCATAAAATATGAAAATAATTTTATTCACTTTTTTTATGAGATCGATTTTTAATTGATTGCTTCTTGACTTATGAAATGAAACGTTATCTCGTAATGTGCTGATTCTTCGGTTTCGAATAACCAATTATACATCTCTCCTTATTCATTCTGTCGTTTATCATATTTTTATTTTTTGCCGTCTATTGATCTAGATTTAGTCTGCCATTTATCCTAGGTCATTTGTCTTTGTTTAACTCCTTTGTTATTACCATTCAAGTCTTCATATATATTCATTTCATTTCAGACATATCATCATTCAAATTATCATTTTGGTTTTTGATTAGTCTTCCTTAATTGTTGTAATTAAGCCCTCAATCACTTGGTATTATTTTATATTTATATTGATCTTATTCTTATTTATGTTGATTAATTCTTCGTTTGTTATTATTTAACCTACATCACTTGTCTAGGTTTAATTCATTTGATATATTCCACAAATATATATATTCATTTACGTTCATTTTGTATATTATCATAGTTATATCTTCATCTATTTTCTCACTTGCTATATTTCCACAATAATATCTTCGGTTATTTTTTTCATTTGGTACATTTTTTCAAATATATCATCGTTTATTTGCTCGTTTCGTTTAACTTTTCACACATCTGTGTTGAAATCTTGATTGATATTTATTTAATTATTAATTCGGCAAATGTCATTGGATAAACTTCATCTTAAATTAGGAAAAGCACTTGTGCTATTGCATAAGGATGAACCTGATAACGCCTACAAAGTATGTATTTTCTCATTATTATTCTAAATTTAATGAGTTTTTGTTTTGTATCGTTAGGAATTAACAGTTATCATTAATGAATTAGTCAAAACGAATACGCCTCTTCACAATGAAGAAGCTAATGATTTATTAATAGTCTCATGTCTCGAACGAGTAAATTTAAGTTATGAAAAAAAGAAATTTCAAGGTAATATGATGCTTTCTTAATATCACAATAACTAAATCTGTAAATTTGATCGTTTCTTTATTAGAATTTCTATATGATGTACAACTTCTTCAAAAACTTAATTATGATATTTACAGTAATTCTGATCTGGCTCTTAAAAAGCTGTAAGTCAAATATTCGTATGTTGATATTCTATGGTCATTTGATATGTATAGAGAAGTTCTATCTGCAATTCACAAAAATATTCTGGAAAACGAACTACAAAAACTAAAAATAAATGGTAAGTATGAATATATTTATATTTTCGAACTGATGAAACTAAAATTTTATTTTCGCTTCCTAATCATTTACAGCAGAAGTCGAAGCGGTTAAGGAGAACATTGCAGTTCATTTCATTGTCGATAAAATACATTCAAGGTATTTGGTTGAATATATATATATATGTTTTTATTTTGCTTTCAATTATAGAATAAGCCAAAAACAAGGAAAAAAAGCCTTAATTCGATTTGATTGTGCCAGATGTTGAACTTGTTTTTTTTTCTTGTAAAATATGATAATTGTATTGTGAATTTTTTTTTTTGTTAAAAGAAAAAATTTTCGACCCAGGTCCAATAAAACGGCGTCGTAAACGGCTATAAAACGGCGATTAACGATGTAAAACGTCGATAAACGGCACCGTAATCCGTCATACCAGATTACAGAAGCAAAACCGGAAAAAAACGACCGCCGTTTTCTAGCGATAGACGGTGGTCGTAATATGGTATGACGGATTACGGCGAAATAAGGCCAAAATTACTGCAGTAATTCGCCGTTTTATAGTCGTTTCAGGCCGGATACGACGCCGTTTCCGACGGCCGGAATGATCCACCTGGGGAATTGTCGAACTATTTTTTCATTTATTTCAATAAAAGTAAAAATAAAATATTCTTCTTAATTGAATTATAGGAAGGAATTTATTCCCGGTAAAGAAAGACGTCGGAAATTCTAAAGCTGAAAACTCTCGATTTCGTTGATTAACAGTTCCAACAAGAGTATTACAAGCGAATTTTATTGTTAGGTGGCTTTCTAGTTGTATGAGATTTTTACAAGTTATAATGATGGTTTTTTCATAGCGCGTTTAGTCTATAAGAGTAGAATGAATTTCACAGTTCACTTTCGACAATTGGCAAAAGCCGTGCGACACATAAAAATTCCATACTTTGTAGAACTTGACTTTAGACAATATTTGAGACTTTCGATCATTGTCAACAATTATATCTTCATTGGGCTTTCGACCTCAGCAAAACTGGACTTTGAGCAATGAGCAATTGTCAAGAATCCAGTTTTGTTCACGACGAAAGTTCCATCAAAACACAACTTTCGACTATTGGTGAAAGTCAACTGCGTAGGTCAGTGCTGCGAATTCTGTATTCTCAATGTGCAACTGGTTGAAATATTTTTAAGGACTCATATTCGAAGCAGACAATGACTTTTTTTTTTGGAAGAAGATCGACAGCTATTCCTTGTTAATACGATCGTAGACTAGCACTTCTTTGCCACATGGTGGATATTTCCTCGATTTATCAAAGAAGAATCTATCGCGATATTCTATAGAATATTTGTGAGGGATGGTTGTGTTGCTTTCTTTTGTATCTATTTCGTGTAAGTGCCTTTTCTTGTACTTGCAGATTTATAAAGTAAATATCCTGACTAGGATATTTTTTTCGTTAGAATTAATATAATCAATCCTGACAGTTGATAGCAAGCTTCGTTCGACAGTTGTGTCTTCGACCGTTTAAAGAAGTTCATCATTGATACAAAAATTTTCTCTCTTAGAAAAAATTCCAGTTAAATAAGAACTGTTCATTCTAACGTAGATAATTTGTGGTATCTTTATACTATGTCGTTCTGTAAATGGTTTGAAGTGTAACGCCTAAGCGCTTGATCATTGAGACATTTGTGATTAAAATTTTGAACTAGAAAGAACTTAATTCTAAGATTACTTTTTATTTTATTCGAAATACTGACATCCACAGCTTATTAATGAGCTTATGCTATAGAATAAAGATTGAAATGACATCAGTAAAAAAAAAATGCTTATTTTGATACTTTAATTGCTAAATAGAATTGATAACATGTTTACCGACCAGTCTTTAAATTTTATCAAAGAACCGACAAATCATTTTTTTTTATTCAAACAATGATAATTTTATTTATTTGTGAGTTTTTTTTCTTTTTCTCTTTGAATAATATAAAGAAATTTAATGAAATAAGGAATGTTAATGTTTTTGATATCGTATGTAAATAGTTATATAGAATCGATATTATATGATTTATTTTTTTCGTCTCTTTTTATTCTTTGGAAGAAACAGTTCTTAATAGAAATATTTGTCACATGAGATATATTACAAGAAACTGTTCATGCAAAAAGAAATTCTATTATCAAGATGTAATGTAAATTGTGTGAATGAAGTTTTGCATCTCTAGTGTTGATTAGATACATATTGCTATCAAACCATGCTCAATATCGAGTATGAATTTTGCTGTTTATTGACAAAGATTGTGATTGACTTTTGTTACATTAGAGTAAGGAAGACTTATAATGACAAAGAGATCCATAGAGAATAGAAAGAATTTCTATATTGTTATTGATATCTATCGAAATCTGATCATATTGAAGAGAAAGATTGAAATGCGTGTGATATAAAGGATCTCTGGAAGTGAAGACGTGTACACTCTTTTTCAACCAATAATCGAGGATTATACATTATTATCCTTAAGAATTAGCCATATTTTTTGTTACTGCCCTTTGAAGACATTCTTCCATGAATATATTCTCATTGGGTTTCTGGCAAGGGGGAAAAAGCGGATCCCGGGATCCATCAGGATCTAACGGGATCCAACAGGATCTATAGGGATCCAATGGGATCCAGTGGGATCCAATGGGATCCAATGGGATCTAGTGGGATCCAGTGGGATCCGTTGGGATCCATTGAGATCCATTGGGTTCCGTTTATATTCATTAATATAGATTATGTTTTTAAGAATTTATAAGAACAAAAGCATTAGCCAGACGCATATTATAAAATTTTATAAATCAAAACATACGGTAGAAGAATTACAATGATCATTATGCAATGTGCTCATAACTCTGACTTATCTATGTGATATTTTGTAATATTCGATTACTAGCAAAAGATATTACCATCTTTTAGAACATAGGAAAGGGACCATTAAGACATTTAGTTATGCTTGTTTTTGTATGACTATCCATGCACATCAGCATTTTTCAAAATATTCTATGAATTCTCTTCAATATAGACGAGGATGACAGAACATCGCTGCCATATACTATCTCCGCAATCATTTTTTTTTGCATATTGACTAGTTCCTCGTGTTGAAGTGAAGGTTTCTGATATTCCGATCGATGAACTATGCCTTACAGCAATGCGTTTAGAAATATAATTCGACTATTATTTTAATACATTTTATTCAAATATACTTTTAGTTAATTAAACAAAAAAGAAAATGAAATCTAAACTAATTAACGTTGTTTACTTGTCTGCTGAACTCGTGTTCGTCTATCTGATGATAAACAGTTTTTATTTATAGATAATAATCGTGCTGCTGTTTGTTTATGAATAAATTTTTGTTTATAATTAATGATAATTTGAAAATAATGAGATTTTTTTGATGGATCAATTTGATCATAAACTCTCATTCCCTCGAATGTCTCTTTCGAACTTGTCAGATGATAATCATTTGCTTCATCTTCATCGGAACAACATTCATTCGTTTCCAAATTTGTTTCGGAAAGATCAACAGCAATTTCACTATTACTATTAATATCATTATCTGCACTATCATGAAGATCTTCTTCATTGAAATATGAATAATCTATTGTCGATTTTCCATCAAGTTGTTGAAAAACAAATTCATTAAGTTTTTTAAAATCATTTAAATTATTTTCCCTAAGTGTTTTTGTTAATTGTAAACTATCCATAATAGCTTGTGCTTCAGCATAAGCTTTAACAATTATCTTTTCTATATCATAAGTTGTTATTGTTGATGTAATTGGAGTATTTATAGACATTGTTGTTTCTCTATGTCGATTTTTGTGATGAATAGGAAACTTTAATGAATGTGCAGCATCATTAGTCTCTTCTGTAGATTTTATTTGATTTAAAATAGAAATTTTTCCAATTTTTTGTAAAAATTCGAATACGGAGAAATTTGTTATGGATGAAAGAGTGCCAGTCAAAGACCGAGCACTGCGGAATGTCGCTTCACAAGGTTGACTACTAAAAAGATGTGTATTAATTGCATAAGATGGTAAACGTCCTTCAGATACTAATATTATTATGGCTGTTAAACAATGTACGTTTAATTCCGACGATAACCAAGCAGCTCTTGTTATAAAACAATTGTCTTTTTCCTTTTGAGAAAAATTTCGTTTAATCTGAAGACTACTCCTAGAATTCATAAGTGAAATGAACAAAAACTAATAGATAATTCTTTTACCACCACATTCGATATGAGAAAGTGACTATCCAACCATAGTATAAACGTGCAAGGATATCAGTATCAGCTTTTACATAAGTAAGAATTATTAATTTTAATAAATATAAATATACATAAGTAGCTGAAGCATTTATATGTTTTAATAGATTTAAAACGTCATCAGATGTTATTTTCAAACAAGAAGAATAATTTTGTCTATCATGAGGAAAAACATCTGAGTGCACGAGATTATGATCAATTTTCGGATAATTCTGAATTATATAAAATAAATGGTTAACATCAATTTCTTGATTATTAATGGACATAGATGCTGTTTCAGATAATAAACGATTTCGAATTTTTGTCACAAGATGTATGCCATCTTGCATACAAAGATATGGTTGAACTAGTCTGATAAAAAAGAAATTCCAAGGTGATTCAATATTAATTTTAAGTAAAGTATTATTTCCACTTAATAAATCGATATTTGGTGTTTTAGCGAAAAATCCTAACGATAACTGCATAGCTTTTAAGTTGCGCGGTTCAGCATCAGCTGAAAAACCAACGATATTGATATTCTTTTTTTTACATTCATTATACATAAACATCCATTTCCTAAGAACATCTACAGCAGTATATTTGTTATTTGTTCCATAAGAAGAAATAATAAACGGTCGTGAATGAACTAGTGATGAAAGATTTTTTAATATAGGTTCGATTAAATTCACAGTGATTAACGAAGATTTATCAAATTCTTCAAACCATTTTTGTAATTCGGTGTAACTATTGGTTTGAAATTGATCGACCAAAGGTACACCATTAACTAATCGAGGAGAAAATCCAACAAAACCATTGTTTTTACTATCGTATGATACTGAACTAACAACTCCAGTTGAGTCTTCGGACTATAAAAAGAAAATATGTAATTAAATCTTTTAATTACTATAAAACAGAAAAAATGAATTCTAATGAACTATAAGTGTATTCTGATCAACTTCTATAGATATTAATACGAGGAACCAAATTCTTTTTTTTCTATCATATATATTATATTATTCCGAAATACATACTACAAATACATGATTTGAATCAATTAATTCTAAATAATCTTTGAGAGAATTAAATCGAAAGTCAGATTCTTTTAATTGCAAATTAATATCTTGATTATAAGCTTTTAATGTTGTAGTAGAAGGTAGAGATCCTGGTAAATTAAGGCGAATGAATTCATAGGCATTATTTCCAGCTAATATGTTGAGAACTGATGCAAATTTATTAACAATAGGATCAAATTGGTAATTATTACTAGATCGTTTCATATTATTCAACAGATTATTAACAAAAATATTAATAAATGATTTAGATTGATTTTCTTTATAAATATCCATTAAATCACACATACAATGACCTGTTTCTTTAAATACATTGGATGTTGTTTGAGATGAAACGAAATTGACATTAGCTGATGTTGATTCATAATATTTTCTCAATGTTTTAATAAATTGCTCGATATTAGATTTAAATCCTGGTCGTACAATATACTGTAAATCATCCGTAACAAAACAAGCTCGTTCTTTTAATTTCAATATGTCTGTGGAATTTATTTGCAAAAATGAAAAGACATCAGGTACTTGTAATAAAATTCGAACATTTTTTATACGTTGTGTTTCTAAGATTTCACCTTCTATAACACCAACAAATTCTTTGACAAATGTATAGAAAACATCATCAGAATAGGATGAGAGGTTTTCAAGAAATGGTAATAGTTCTTGTTCCATACTAGCCATAGCTACAAGATAATGAAAAAACTATCTATAAAAAGTATATAATACTTAGAGAATTGTCTTGATTCTAGTTAAATTGTTTAAAGTTAATAACTGTTTCAAAAAATGTAATTCCAACTATATTTAACATAATTTAATTATACACAAAAGTAAGAAAGGAACAAAAAATATAAGCTAATGTAGATCCAATACTCAAAAACAAAGTTTTCAAACATAAATAAATGCTGTATAATAAATAAATGACAAGCATATAAAATCAATGATATTCAAATTCTCTATTTAGTTACACTCTATAACGCCTTTTTCTTTGTAGTGTTCATTGATGATGATGGTGATGGCCGTTTTTTGATAAAATAATTGTTATTGTTCAAGCTTTCTTCATCATAATCATTGTTCTCGTTTATCTCACAAAAACTGTTATTTTGCAACAAATCATCTGATGAATTATTATTGTTTTTTAAATTTTCAATTAATAGTCGTTTCTTTTTTTTTATCATAGAACAACGACTACCCTTTAAGTGTTTGAAATAAGAAGATAATTGAAATGAATTTCTATTTGGACGAAAACAAAGTTTAATTGTTGTTTTACAACCACATTTTATGTGTCCATTTATGTTCGTATGTAACAACGTTAAACATATAACATAATCATCGTTGTTGTTTAAAATAACGTTTTTAAAAGTATTGATAGAAAATTTTTCGATGCTATTGGAAATCAAATCAATGTAATCATTAATTGGCATTAAATTAGGTGTTGCTGTTGGTGTTGATGTTAATGATGAATCGATGAAATCCGAAACAGATGTATTTGACAAAGGTGTATTTGAATTAGAACGATTTGTTGTAGAAGATAATAGTGATGGTGATGGTTTGGAGTTTTTTTTTCGTTTAATGTACTTGTTGTTCTTCTCTTTAAGTATTGTTATTAAATAATCAATACCAGCTTTGATTCCTGATTTAACAATAGCATTCTTATCATTATCATCATCGATGAAACAAATGTTATTTTTAAGATCAGCAAGTTCTTTACAATTAATACTAAATATAGCAAAAACATCTGGTACATTTAACAGCGTTCTAATGTTTTTAATTGATTGTAATTTCAATAACTTCATTTCATCAACACCTAAACAGTCTTCAATAAACTTGTAAAATTGATCGTTTGAGTAGAAAAGAACTTCATCGGGTAAATTATTTAAATCGATATTCATCATATGTGCTTGTATGTACTGGAGAATAATATAGATGGATTCGACAGAGTAGTATAATTATAACAGATAATGGAGGTTTCTGCCACGATTAAGAACGGTGAAATAAAAAAAGAAAGTGCATGAAGTATTCTTAAGTTAGCCTAAATCAAAACCTTAGTCTGTTTTAATTTCTCTCAACATAAACTCTGATTGAATAACGTGAGATGTGTCGATAAATTACTTGATCCTTTCCACTCTTTTTTGTCAGGATAAAATTTCAATTTTATATAATTATTATATATGACTCCTATTACTATCATATTTTAGCTTTTTCCTCGACAACAACAAACTTTAATAACCTTCTACAACGTGCTGATGATTCCGAGAATCTGTCTGTGGAGCAAATAATAATAGAGAAAAATAATAACAGAAACCATTGAAAAATAAAATTGCTTGATTGCATCAGCCCTGAATTGACATCTAGGCGACCCAAGCAAGAGAAATTGAAAGTTAATGCGGTCTCAAAAATACTTAGAAACATTCACTAAGATCCAGTGGGATCCTGTGGAATCCATGGGATCCGACAGGATCCACAGGATCCGTCGGGATCCATCGGGAGCCACCGGGATCCACGGGATCCATTGGGATCCACCGGGAGCC